GGCCACAGATTTGAGCTCTCAGTTACGCGACATAATCCTCAACACTCATGTACCTCTAGTATTGCCCGACTTTCCCATCAACTGGGAGTGCTTTGACGACTCATTGCAGAATTGGTGCACGCGCTATGACCAGGATGCCAATGTCGACTCTCTGCCGGCATTCGAGAGCATGGACGTCACAGACTGCGAGACGCCGCAATGGGAGCGCAAGAGAAAACGTGTCAAGATGACAATGCAGAAGTTTCTGCATAATTTCACAATGACTGTCGACAAGCAGCCCAAAGAATGGGCCGCCTATCAATATGTACGTGCACATGACATGCCTCCCAGCTGCTTGAGCGGCATCGATTTCAAGTGCTTCGGATTTGCGGAGCACCAGAACGACTACAGTCTGTGGCTGGGGTCAAAAGGCGCCAATACACCATGCCACTATGACACGTACGGAGTGAACGTTGTGGTGCAGGCTTATGGCAGCAAATCGTGGTTACTCTTTCCGCCCGAGACGCCACTGCAAAGCACGCGAATTCCCTACGAGGAGTCCAGTGTTTACTGCCTGGAGAACTTCTATGCGCCCGAGCCGGACAAGCTGCAGCATTACGAACAGTTCCAGGAGCACGCTTACCACTGCCTGCTACAACCGGGTGACGTGCTGATTGTGCCCCGTCAATGGTGGCACTACGTGGAGGCGGTGTCCACTTCCTTGAGTGTCAACTATTGGGTGCCGCTCAAGTCTGACCTGGACCTGACATTCGATGAGCTCTTGGTCAAGCATGTGGTCGAGAGCTTTGTGAAAGGCGAAAGCAATGCATTGAAACAGTATCTATTGAATCCCAATCAGCTGGACGAGATAGCTGAGTCCGCCAGCTCGCTCTTTAGCCAATTTGAGAAGGCAGTCCTGAAGCCGAACTTGGACAACAAGCGCAAACTATGGGACACCGATTACTTGACTGAAAGCGAGGTACTGCAGCTACTGCGCAGCGTCAGAGTGCACATACGCGCCCTGGACGTGATGCCCAAGGAGGCCTATTCCCAGCTGATCACAGACAATGCTAAACGACATACGCAAGGCAGGTCAGAGCGGAAGGAGGATGCCATAATAAGCTCCACACTGGAGCAGCTGATCAATAGCATGTGTGCGCCCCGCTGCATTGCGTCCATCAAGCAAGAGTTCTTCCGCCGCTTGAAGCAAATGGATAGATCATAGCGCTAACCCGCCAATCTGAATTAAGGAATAACATAATATGCAACAGATTACAGAGCTAAGACGGAACGTTTATTGTGATACTTGATTATATGAGATTAAAAATCCAATAAGCATTCATATTTGTTCTATAACACAATTTGAAGCAGAACCAAATGGGAGGGAATGGGGGAACGGAGGAGCATTAAATGCCATAGAATAGATAGAGTCTAGATTCATGAATAACATAATATGCAATATAGCCGCTGGCTAAACACAGTGCGAGATAATTGGATGCGATTCCTCAGTTTACCAGCCGGGTGGCTTCTGGTTGGGATAGCCGCCCTGTTGATGAGCATAACTGCCGGGATATGTGCCATAGTTGCCGGGTTGTGGTCCCTGCGGAAAGCCTCCATACTGATAAGGTGCTAGAAATGCAAACACCCATTCGAAAACCATCTCATTTCATCTTAATCAATCATACGTACCGCCTGGATATGGCAACGTGGCATAGGGATTGAAGCTCTGCGGCATGGGCGGTGGTACATATGTGGGGTACGGCACGTTGGCCGATGCACCATAGGGCAGCGGCATGTGCACCTGGGCCGGATACGGAACGTTCGGTGCAGGTGCAGCAGCAGCTGTTGCTGGTGCATTTGGAATATCTAAGAAAGACAGAGGAATAAGCCTAAAATGCATATAGAGTTACGTTATCTGATCCACTTACCGCTGCCGCTGCCCGACGTGGAGGCATAATGTGATGGCAGAGCCGGAGTGGCCGGCGGCGCCTGGCGGCTCGACTCGGTGGTCAGATCCTTGAGCAGCTCCTCCTTCTCGGTCTTGCGCGCAAACACAAAGTCACTGATCTTATTCTGGAACACAACCAACAGCTGAGTGAGGTCATTGTAGAACTTGGTGCCCTCCTGCAGATTGCCAGACAGCTCGATGTAGCTGTCGTAGGCGGTGGCCAGCTCCTGGTACAGCTTGTCGCGGGAGCTGCCGCAGTTGCCCGTCTCGGCCACGAAGGCGCCATGGGCGCTCTGTATGTCAGCGACCAGCGTTGCCTGCCGCTCTACGCTCTCCTTGACCTGGGCCTGCAGTGGGCTGAGCACCTGGCCAATGCGAGACAGCGACAGGGCTGGCTCATCGATGGCGCCATCTTTCTGCAGGGCATGCAGAAACTCGTCCTTCATGTTGAATGTGGCCGATTTCAGCTCCAACTCAACAGCATCGCGCTCCGCCTTGATCGTCTCAACGGCCTCCATCAACTGCTTGAGGCGCTGTACACTGGAGCAGTTAGGATCCACGCTGCCGCTTGCGGATGGCAGCGATTGTTGGATTTGCTCCGGCGGCATCGAGAGCAGCTCAATGCCCTTCTGGTTGGCCTCGAACTTCTGGCGCACCACCTTGTCGGCCTCGATGGCATTGGTGATGACCTCGCGGTACTTCTTGGAATTGGTGCGGAACATTTCGGTAAGCTTGTCGGAGCTGATGCGTGTCCAGCGCTCTTTGAACTGTGCGCGCAGTTGATTGTCTGAGTCGCGCTCCTCATCCAGCAGCCGTTCCGTCTCATCCAAGATCTCGCGATTGCGATTGAGCAGCTCCGGCAAGTCCTTCAGCATAGTCTTCAAGTGCTCAATGCCACCCTTCTCACGCACCTCGTTCGCCTTCTCGCGCAACGAGGGCGGCAAGCCGCTGTTGCTGTCAGTCTGCTCCACGGCAGCGGGAAGATTGAGGCTGGCCAGCACCGCGTTCAGGGTTTGGGTTGCCTCACGCAGCTTCATGATTTCGGTGTTGACAATCTCGTTCTTGCGCATATCCGAAGCGGTCAGCGCACGGTGCAGCTCAACGGGCACCAGGGCGCTGAAGATGTCCTTAAAGTTCGAGGCCATGGGCGTTGCCAGAGGCAGCGGTTTGGCCAGCTGTGCCTTGCCGGGCGAGGCCAATGTGCTCAGATCTGGTATCATCTCATTATAAATGAACTCGTTGTCCTTGGTGGACTCGGCCAGGTTGCGCTTGGCGCGACTGAAGTACTCATCCAGATAGGTCTCGTTGCCGCCACGGGATTGCGCGGCTTTGAAGAGGTCGACGGCATTGCGCAGACGGGCGATTTCCTCCCCAATCCGCTTGGCCGACCGGCAGACGAGACTCTGGTACAGCTGCGTTAGGGCATGGAAGCCCGCCTGCTTGCCAGCGACTGTGGGTATCCAGTCTTTCTCCCAGAGACTGCGCACCGACTCCTTTTGCATGGCGCGCAGCACATCCGCATAGAACTCCTCGCCCTGGCAGCACAGTTTAGCTATGATCTGATCCTTCATATTGTCTGCGCAAATGGAAGCTGAGCTTAGTATGCAAGATATTGCATTTTTTATGCAGAGTTTTACCTTTAATGGCCTTCAGTATGAAGACTTCTTGGGCCTGTGCCACCATCAGGGCCTGCAGCACAATGAGCGTATCCTGACTCAAATCTGGCGTCGGCTCCGAGGGCACAGCTGCGGGTGTGGCGCCCTTCAAGTACTGGAAAATGCCCGCGCTCTGCTGCAGCAGTTTGATGGCCAGCTTGAGGCCTTCGTCCGTGTCCAGCTCCTGACTGGCAGCCACACTGCTCTGCAAGGCGGCAATGTTGAAGAGCACGCACACCTTCTCGTACAACAGCGAGGTGTGAGCTGAACGATTAAGAGCAACGTGTTCAAACCGGTTCAAGCCTATTGCATCATAGCAGGGCCAGTACTTACTCAGGCTGATCTTGTTGCCGAAAATGGAGCCTTTGTCGAATGCATCCTTCCACTTGAAGGGTATCTGCAGCTCGCTGACGGATATCTTTGTCTCCAGTGCGGTTATTTGGTCGTAGTAGCTAAAATGTAAATAAAAGTGAAACCAAACGCCAACGGCGTTTAATTAGAGACGACGTCATTCGGCTACGCTTGTGTTTACGTCTGGCTCTGGCTCTCTTCTCTGTCTCTTTCTCACACTCACATTTGCAACTGATTAATTACAGCTACTTTAGTGCTATCAACCGCTATGAGTCATTGCATACAGCATAGAGACCCTATTTACGGCTATCAGGAAATACTAATGAAGAAAATAAACTCCACTTACGCATAGACGATTTCCAGCGATGTCTCATACTTTTCGAAAAACTTCCAAATCGCCGTATTGCGTTGCTTTGAAAACTCATTTACTGCCTCCGCATACTGCGCCTTCTCTTCGGCACTGGCTCCATTGTAGGTGCTTTGTATCAGATTGTTCAGTGGCTTTATTATGTCTACCTCTGATGGCTTCTTCAGTGGCACTCCCAGTAGTTTGGACATTTTAAATGTGATTTGTAGCAATGCGCTGTGTTTTTAAGAAATACTATTTAAATTTAATTTGCAGACTGAATCTTGGTTTTCCTCTTTTGTGTGCTGCCCCCTATCTCATCAACAGCTGCGGCCAGTGTTGTCGGATTTGCAGGCAATCGGTGAGTAATTGCGTTGTCTGACGCGCTGTAATTAATAGTAGAACATTCCTGTTAAATGTGGAGCAGGTTTAAAAGTTGAGGAGCGAGTCTGCCTACAATAAAAGCAATATGATTTGTCATGTCTTTCACAATTGGTGAAATTCGTGCTTTTTATGCATTTTAATATAGACAAATCTTAACACCAACAATATAAGTAAGCTTTAATCCTTATATTGATTAGATAAAAATATGTAAGTGATGTGATTGAGCTCAAATATGCCGCATCTCTGTTAAGCGGCATGTTACCGGTCTGTTAGTAAAGTTGGGATTCTTTTAACTATTGTGACTGATAACAAATCGATGCCCAGCTGACAACTCTGCCATATTTGCAGAAAGCATGTCAACTCTAGACACTTTCTATTTTCTGATTGCGTTGTTGTGGAAGAAAACTGGGTGACAGAAGAAATTTTTGAAAATATATTAACATTAATTAAAGTTTTTGGAACTAAGAACATAGAAATAAGTAGAAAACTCCTGTGAATTACAAGTGTTAGTGGCTGTGTGCAAGGAGGCGCTAACCACGAATAACGGGACTAAACACTTGCAGTAACTGCAAAAAAAAGTCAAGGGAAAAGAAAAAAAAAAAAAAAAATCGAAGAATCCCCTAGCGATGGCTGATGTTGAAAAATTGACAGCCGCACCAGCGACTGATATACCTGTCTCATCTATAAATGCCAACGACACGGGAACAGTGAGCGGTAGCGCAGCCGATCTGGGCACCTCGCCCACACAGGAGCCCTCAAGCAATTCGCATCCCCATGACTCCGAGTACGACACAGCCAGTGATCTGGAGGGTGATTACGACGATGATGAGAGCGACAGCGAGGAGGAGACGGAAACCGACGACGACGAAACCGAGGAGGATGATGATGAGCTTGGTAGCGGTACCGTTAGCGGTAATGGGATCGATCGCAGCGGGGCCGACAGCGAGGCACAGAAGAAAGTTGATGAGGATCGCAGCAATCCTCAATATATACCAAAACGTGGCACCTTCTATGAACACGACGACCGCACTGCCGAAACGGAGGCTGATGGCATTATAGATACTGGCAACGATGGTGGCCCATGTCCACCGGGTGTGGAGCCCACTGGCGATGATGTGTCCAATGGCAACACTGCCACAGGCTCCACGCCGGCCGGACAGACGCCAACCATATCACAGGCCTCGAAAACCATGAAGAAATGGCAGCCAGCTTCGGGCGGTGATCGTTGGTCCCACGATCGTTTCGAGGCCAGCGAGCAGGCGCCCAAAACTCGAGCAGAGCTGCTGCAATCCTATGGATACGATATACGTAACGAGGATGCGGCGCCGCGTGCCCGTCGCCGACGACGGTATGGGCGCGGACCTAGCAAATACTCTAGAAACTGGGAGGATGAGCAGGCGTATCTGAAGGCCAGCAACAAAGAACGCAAGCCGCCCCGACCCCAGGACTTCCCGGCACTCAACGAGCGCAGCAGCACATCCAGCAGCAACAACAAAGTGCGCCGACCGCGCAGCTCCATTTCGCGCGAGGAGAAGGAGAATCGCGGCGAGCGACGCAACAATCATGCTGCCACTGCAGCTGGCGCTGCCAACGAGAAACAGCACCCCACTGGCTCAGGATCCATGGCGGGAGGCAAGTCGCAGGAGCCGCGTGAACGTGAGCCCAGGCAGCGCAACTATGGACGCGCCAATGGTGGCCACAATGCCAACGGGCGACAAAATGCCATGGAGTTCAAGCAGAAGTCGAATCGTGGCTCACATGGTCGTGGCGATCAGCGGGATTATGCGGAGCAGCGCGGCGAACGGGACTACCATGTGAACAGAGCAAATGGCAGCGGACCCAAACAGATAATCGATATACAGACACATCAGCAGCAAAAGCAGCAACAGCAGCAGCCACAACAGCAGCAGCAGCAGCAACAACACAGGCAACCACAGCAGCAGCAGCAGCAGCAACAGCCACAACAGCAACCACAGCAGCAACAACAACAACAACAACAGCAGCAGCAGCAGCCTCAACAACAGCAAAAGCATCTGCCATTGGTCACATCGAATCTATCACATCGTTTGCAGCAGGTGCAGCAGCGTAACGATCCTAGCCATGTGGGCAGCGTGCAAATGCACTCCCTGGCCACACAGAACCAACAGCAGCAGCAGCAGCAGCAACAGTTGCATCTGGCACAGCAGCAGCAGCAGCAGCCGCAACAATTGCCAGCGGAGCAGCGCAGCGGGCCCAAGCGTTACTCCAGTCTGAGACGCAGTCAGCACGAGGCCACACAGCAACAGCAACAACAACAACAACAGCAGCAGCAGCAGCATCATCTAGTGGAACAGCAACAACAAATGCAGCAACAATTGCAGCTGCAACAGCAGCAGCAACAGCAACAGCAGCAGCAACAACAACAATCGCAGCTAATGCTGCAGGATCCTCACATGCTCATGCAGATCGCCTACCAGCAGCAGGAGCTGCAGGCGCAGCTGCAGACACTGCAGTTGGGCCCAGCACCGCCAGCTGCGGTGGCCGCGCCACAGTCCAAGCAGCATGCGCCGCCCGCTGCAGCCTATCCACAGACGCAGGGTGCGCCCTATTATGAGTCGGTGCCCGTGCAGGTGCCTGTGCCGGTGCAGGTGCCAGTGCCCGTGTCAGTGCCGCAGGCACCCTATGTGAATCCGGCCAGCAATGCCTATCTGCCGGCCACGCCAGCGGCCGTGGCCTATGCCCAGGCTCAGTCGGCAGCCACGGTAGCGCCACAGGCAGCGCCTCAGGCGGCGCCGCCGCCGTCCACGCAGGCCGGCCAGGCCTATCACCAGAATTATAATACGGTCGGCGGCACCACATATTTCGTGCCGCCGGCCCAGACCACAACCCGCCCCGCTGTGCTGCCCCAGAGACGACCCACGAATGCCATACCCATCCTGCCGCCATCCGAGAAGCATAAGACGCGCACCGCCAAGCCGGACGAGGCGGCTGGCGGCAGTGGCAGTGGCAGCGGCAGCGGCAGCGGTAGTGGCGACAACATCGATCACATTATTGATAACATGTTCGTGCAGCGCCCGGCCTTCCAGCCGCCGCCCGCCTCGGCAGCGGAGACACCCAGCGACGATGGCAACAGCAGTGCAACTGTCGCTCAGCCAGCAGCCGTTGACCAGACCCACCTGGTGGCTGCGGTGCCCGGGCAAGAATGAGTGCACGTTTATGCTGATCCGCGGCAGCAGCAACAGCAGCAGCAGCAGCAGCAGCGACACTTGCGCAGCCATCAAGCACAGGAGGAACTGATGTCCAGTGGCTACGCCCTGCTGCCGCCTCAGATTAGCTACTATCGTGCCCACTGAAGGGCGCGAGAAACCCGAAGATTTTGACGAGATTGTTTCTTTAGCGGGAAGGATCTGTGATCCTTGTCCCCAACACTCACTCAACCTGTTTTAGAGCACTCACATACACACACACATTTGTAATTAGCGAATAGTTGCACTTAATCGAACTAACTAAGGTCGCTTCGACTACACCCAGAGTTCAGCGTAAGGCTTTCCAAGTAATCCATATATATATACCATATATGTATGTATATCTAGTTATAGAAAGTATCAAATGAATTTTTAACCAGAGTCCTCTCGCTGGCGCTTATTATCTAAATACATGAATATATATAAATATATATAGTCGCATTTTGAAGTTGGATTAATCGTGAATTGTAATTAATCATTGGACATTTGAATTTCAATAAAAGTTGTAACACTTAAAGCAAACGCTGAAAAAAAAAAAACAAAAACTATGATTATTTTGTAGACAATATTAGATTTATTTGGGATCTATAGAGGTTACAAAAACAAAAACTATTTAATACCCTAAACATGAATTAGCTGATCTGATCAGAAGCAAGCACTCGAGTTGAACGAATAAATTAAATACCAAAAACATTTTAATAATTTTATGAATTGAATTTGATTGATTTATAAGTAATTTTTAATTGATCCATAAGGTTTAGGATCAATATAATGTGAATTATGTTAAAAATCTTTACTTTCTATATAAATGGAATTTATTTTTAAATGTTATTTCGAAATATTTTCTGTTTTAAAATTTTTCTCTTAGTTGATTGTCAAGATTTGGCAAGATGTTCAAAGTTCAACATCCGTCTGATAGTGATTGTACATCTACAGTTGAACCAGGTTATAACGACTCTGACGAAAATTCTCCTCCCCAGAGAAACTTGTATAAGCAGTTTAGTTAAAATGCCTGACCTAGTACAAGAAAAATATTATGAACTTAAGACCTACACATAGTACACATATAAAAGTAGATTATGATATGGAACCGCCTGCTGATTTATGCTTAGCAAGGCATCTCTATTGGAATGCCGATTGCATATTGAATTATATAGAAAGCTGACGCGCGTATATATGTATGTACATCTCGTTGCTTGGCAGTTTACAATTTGGAATCATTTTGCTGCTGCTCTAGCAGCCGGCGAATGCGACGGAACGACTCCATGAAGATGATATTGAATTTGCGTGCGCTGCTCTTGATGCTGTCCCGATAGGCAGTCGAGTTCATGTAGACGCTGCAAGTTGAGGGGAGTATTTTAATATGCGCAATGGACTGTATGGGGGATTTAAGACTTACGCATCCGAGGTAATCGAATAGAAGACACCATAGCCATCCAGTGTCATGGGCGCCACAAAGCCCACATTGGGCGTAAAGCCCAGCGTGCTGGAGGATAGGACGAAATTGCCACCGCCGCCGGCCTTGGCATAGAGCGGATCATCATACAGAGCGGGTATGTCCAGGTTGTTCTCATAGGCCGCGCACCACAGCCCAAAGAGATGCCTGTCTATGCCATGACCCTTGCGTGCCTCGTCCATCTGATATCGATGATCGACGACAGCGGCGCGAAATGCCTTCACCAGCTGCTCATCCGTAGTATTCTTGTTGCTGGAGGCCAGCAGGAAGTCGTAGACAGCATTCGTGCAGGAGCGCAAAGTCTCAGTGCGTCCATTATAAAAGTGGCGCATCAGCGCCGTCTCATAAGTGGGTGCAATCCTGGCGAGAATCACAGATGTTAGGCAATGGAAATGTGAGTGCAAAGCATGCATTGTCTTACTCCTGGTGCATCTGGTAGTACGCCCACTGCATGAGCACTTGCACAAAGGAGTCGGGATGCAGTTTCTGAGTCTTCATGAAGTCCTTGCCATAATCATCAAACACCTCAAAGGTAACGATGACATCGATGCCCTGCAGGGTACAATTTTAAAATGGCGAGAATGCTCAAATTCCATATATACATATATTCCTACTAACCCTTTCATCGATCTCATGCAGCACGCGCTTAATCTCCGACTTGAGTGTATCATCCAGATCGAACTTAATCTCTTGCACTTCCACCACTTTCGTTCCGTTCGCCTCATTCCAGTTCGGCTCGGGCACCTCCAGGAAACTGAGCTGCATGAACGTGGCAAAGCTGGCGCTGACCGTTCCATCGTAGCAGCTGTGCTCGCCCGTGAACACATAGTGCCCGTTCTTGAAGGCGATGATGCAGCTGCTGCGATCCGCCCAGCGGGAATGGTAGTCGCCGTAGATGCACAGCTGTGACGACTCCTCTGTGTTCTGCGGCTGATGCTCGTCGAAGCAGACGTCTACGCAGGAGCTTTCTACCAGCTTCAGATTCTGCTTGTTCGCCTCCGAGAGGTTCATCAGGTGCTTGCGGTTCTTGGCCCAGCTGGTGCGGTTGTCGTGAGTGAGCGCGGGCACGCCATCGCCCTCTGGCTCATAGTCCAGCATGCTCCGTATCCGCTGCAGAGCAACGAGAATCTCGGGTGCAGTCAGAATGGAGTCGTCGTCGTGCACACAATTAAACGTGAACTGGCGACCCTTGCCCGTGATAATCAGGTGCGTTGGTGTGCGTCCCTCGGACTTGGTCAGAAAGTGCTTCTCAATGTGGTCCTTCTCCTCGCCCGGCACACGCGACGTAGAATAGAAATGCTTATACAGCGCCGAGGAGTACTTCACCCGGCCGCCGTTCGAGGAGAGAGGCCTGATGTTCTCATTGCGCACCAGATCCCAGAACTCCAGCGAGTGATAAATCTGACGAGCGAGACTCTGAAACGATTGAGATTCGTTTCAGTGATTGCAAAGGATTGGGTTGATGACTGTTAAACCTTGAGCATGTAATCTGGTCGCTCGGGCACGCCCACATGGCACAGCTGGCAGGGCATGGACATGATTTGGTAGGGCAACAATGGCAGACGCATCGTGTGATATGCATAATCCTCCCACCAGCTGCCCAGCCAGTTCTTCATACGAGCCGCACGCTCCTTCAGCATGTCCTGCAATTTGGCTCCAATGCCCGTCTCGAACTCCGCAATGATGCGCCTCGTCTCGGCCAGCTCCTCGTCCGTGCCAAAGGGCCGCAAGCCGGCATAGTAACGTTGCAGTGTGTCTCTCAGCTCGGGCAGCGGCAGCGGTGGCAGCGTCTCATCAAAGCTAAAGGTGCTCTCATGATTATCACCGATAAATAGGCTGGCACGGTCCATAATAACAACCCAAAATAGCTGCTAAATATATTAACTACATTAATTTCATGGTCCATTTATTTATCTATAATCGTCTCTAGATAAGCGGATAAGCAGCAGCTGATTACATTTTCAATTTTTGCTGCACAAATGGTCCAAAGTTTCACAGTTAACTCTTGGCCAAAGGTCGCTTACAAGCGGACGCATACACACACATACACATAGGCTCATATGTTAATAAGCATTTTGTTTTATTTTACGCTTGATTAGCCTGTTGCTGCGTCTCCAATTTTACCGACCTTCACGTGTGTCCAACCGGTGCGTCGAAGTGCCGCTAGACGACTGAATGCCTTGATGGAAACCAATCCAGCCACAAGCGTTGTCGAGCCCTCTTGTGTGTGTGTGCGTGCGTGAGTCTCTCAAACTGAATTGATTTGATAAGACAGCGATCGATCAGAGCGGTTGAATGAACGCATTCTATAGATAAAACCTCGACATATACATATGTACCTATACATACGCATGTGTATGAATAGAGCGGTTAAATGTTTTCATTTTAATGGATTTGCATTTTTGCAATGCATGCGCAATCATTAGTAACCATGGCTCCAGCAACTAGTACAATAAACTGTGACGTCATGCCTCAATTGTCTGCAAGAGAGAAGTGTTTTGAACTTTGTACCCGCCACCCGCACACTGAGACACTATTCTAGAGCTGGCAATGTTCTCGTTTGTTGCGCGTGACACGAGCACGACGAAGCAGGATGTTCTTGATGAAAATCAACAAGTTGGATGAGCTCTGAAGAATCTATGTAAAAAAGTACATATTAATAAAATGCGCAGTTGAAAACATTTACATAATATTTTATCAGTGTAGAATATATATAAAAAAAAAATAGTAATAATTATTATTTACGTATAAGTTACATGCTAATTAAATACATTAATTTGCTATCCATTGATAAAATCGAACAGATAATTGCACTTATACATACTACATCTATAATTTCCATTTCATAATGATGCCAATTAGTAAAAAACAATTATACTGCCCAGATGACAACACGCACATCTGATTATGTTTTTAAATATATTGGCATATTTTTTAATAGAAGTTGGTATATGATAATGGCAGGCATTGAAGCCATGTTAAACATGTAATAATATATAATATATTTAATATCAGTGGCTTATAAGTATTAACGCCAAGATACAGCTACGATGTCAAATTTCTATTGGGTCGCTGGTTTCAATTTGTTTATGTGCTCCAGCTGTGATTCTAGTGCTGCCACACTATCGAACGAGTGGCAGCTCCGTTCTGCTTGTTTCGCAAAACATCTGGCATTAATTTCGTGAAATGAGCAAATACACAAAAAACGAATTATATAGAACATTTTATTTTCCCATAACGCTTGCCCAATTAAGCGGCGATTATTAATTAACCTGAAGAGGCCAAAAAATGCTACCATCGACGGGCCTTTTCAAGAGTTTCGCTTGCCCATACTACAACAGCGCCGGCAACGGCAGCGGCAGCAATGATGAAAACGGCGAAGCGTCCTTCAACTGCAAACGTCCTTTCTGCCATTTCAAGCACAATCGCAAGGGTAAGTGTGTGTGTGTTTCAAGTTATGCAAACATCTAACGCTCTGTTCGCAGACGATGTGGAAACGACACTGCCAGCGGAATCGGTGCCGGAGTACAAGCCAGCGCCGGTGCCCAAATTGCTCTCCCTTCCATTGCCCGAGATGACGATGTGTGCGCCCAAAAAGAAGCTCAATCTGGAATACCATCCAGAGAAGCCGGCCCTGAATGCTTCGC